TTAGGGTTTAGGGTTTAGGGAGTTCGGATTTAGGTTTAGGGATTAGGGGTGTTGGATTGAAGGTTTAGGGTTTAACGGTTTTGGATTTAAGGTTTAGGGTTTAGAGGTTTTGGGTTCAGGGTTCAGGGGGTTTGGGTTTAGGGTTTGGGGTCTAGGGGTTTTGGATTTTGGGTTGAGGGTTGAATGGTTTTAGATTTAGGGTTAAGGGGTTTAGGAATTTTGTATTTAGGGTTTAGGGGGTTTGGATTCACGGTTGGGGTTTAGGGGGTCTTGATTTGGCATTTAGGGTTCAGGGGGTTTGGATTTAGGGCTTAGGGTTTAGTGGTTTGGGATTTAGGGTTTAGGGTTTAGAGGTTTTGGATTTAGGGTTCAAAGATTTGGGATTTAGGGTTTAAGGGTTCCGGGTTTAGGGGTTTTGGATTTAGGGTTTAGGGGGTCTAGGGGGTTTGGATTTAAGGTTTAGGGATTTGGGATTTAGGGTTTAAGGGCTTTGGATTTAGGATTTAGGGATTTGGGATTCAGGGGTTTTGGATTTAAGGATTAGGGGTTTTGGATTCAGAGTTTAGGGTTGAGGGGTTTGGGATTTAGGGTTTAGGGGTTTAGGGGTTTTGGATTTAGGGTTTAGGAATTTGGGATTTAGGGTTTAGGGGTTTGGATTGGGGGTTGAGGGTTTAGGGAATTTGGATTTACGGTGGGCTTTTGATTTTTTATTGTTTAAGGTTGAATGGTTTTGGATTTAGGGTTTAAGGGTTAGGGGTTTTTGTTCAAGGTTTAGGCTTTAGGGTGTCAGGTTGACGGCTCAGACGGGTGAAGAACCACATGGCTGCAGACAAGCTTGCAAAAAAAGACGTGCTAAGCGACCCAAAAAAAGTTTGCTAAGCGACCCCGAAAAATGTTGGCTAAGAGGCCCCTTTTCCCACGGAAGGCCTGGAAGAGGAGTTTAAAGGGAAGGAAGAGGAGCACCGAGAGGAGAACCGCGGGACGGGTGATGGGAGCCGCGACGCGCGATGACACGGGGCGCAACCGAGCAAGTAAAAATAAGAACCTCGCAAAGAATGAGGAAAAAATCTCTGTAGGTTTTATACCCAGCATACACATCGGTCCTCGAGCAAACTTAACTAGAAACGGTAAACAACCCCAGACAACCAACCCTTAGGATGGGGATGTTCAATGTAAGTAATGAAAGTCCCAAATCAAGGACTAAGGCTTGCCTTAAGGATTTGAGTGTAAGGTTTGGTTTATGGGCTTCGGCTTACTGCTTCAGTTGCTTGGCTTCAGGATTAGGACTTAGGACTAGGGGTTTAGGGCTAACGGGTTTTTACGGCCAAGGCTTCATCAAGCTTGTTCTGCAAACTTGGTGTTTTTTTGCCCGCTTTTGGCATCTGGACAAATGCATTGCAAAAGGGCCAGTAACAGCCGTCAAAGTTTAGAATTTTGGGGGTTAAGTTTCGAGAGAGCTCTTCTAGGGTTTGGGTTTTATTGCAACGCCTATTCTACCTCGTTTCGCTTGAGTAAACGCTCACAGAACAGGAACACTCCTGATCCAAGAGCCAACCCTCACTTAAGTTTGGGGTTTAAAGCTTAAGATTTAAACTCTTGGGTCTCGCCGCATAAGCACGCATACAAACGTGCACTGGCATAGCTTAGCCGTCCCGCCCCAACCACCCAAACCGTGACCATGTTCAATTAGGGTTTAACCTTCCTACCCCAAAACAAAGTGCGAATACAAGTTCCTAAACATATTTTGAGCAGACACATCAGAAGTGAAAGCCGATGAAGTCGCAGCTTGCTCGTTTCGGGTGTAGGGTGTAAAGCTTCGGGCTTGCGGCTTACGGCTTCAGGCAAAAAAATGAGTTTCACAGTTTTGGGCTTCATTTTTTCCACTGTGGAGTTTCAAGTTCAAAGCTCTGGGTTCACAAGTTGAAGTTGTTAAGGGTTAGCGTTTCGGGCTCAGAGTTGTTGGTTCACACTTTGGGCTTTTCGGGTTTAAGGTTAAGGGGTTTACAGTTTCAGGAATTTTGGGCTCAAAGCTTTGGGTTCACATTTTGGAGCTTTCCAGTTTCGGGCTTAGAGGTTGCATTGAGCTTCGCTTTGAAAACTTTGCGTTTAAAGTTCAGGGTTTACAGTTTAGAGTTCACAGCTTGAGGTATTAAAATTTTAGAAGTAGCATTTCGAGTTGAAACTTCAACATCTTGAGTTTGGGGCTTGTAATTATGGTTTACAGTTCGGAGCTTTGGGATCTAAGGTTTCGGGCTTAAACCGTGAGGGCTCACAATGAGGGATTTTTGGGTTTAAGGTTCCAATGCTGAGGTTTAAAGCTTTGGGATTTAGAACCCTTTGTTCACAATTTGACTTTTCAGCGGTCAAGGTTGAAGAGTTTCGGGCTTAGAGTTTCAGGCGCTTTGACAGTTGAGCCTTGAGAGCTTCGGGCTTAGCGTTTCGGATTACGAGTTTGGGGTTCGAGGTTTAAACTGTTAGAGTTTAGGGTTTCAAGCTTGGCATTCGCAACCTGAAGGTCAGAGCTTGGGGCTTTAGAAATTAAATTCACCGTTTGGAGCTTTTAGAATAAAAGTTCAGAGCTTTGGAGATAAAGTTTCGGGTTTAGAGTTTTGGGCTCATAGGTTCGGGCTTAAAAGTTTAGAGCTTCTGGTTTAGCATTTCGGGTTCAGAGTTTGGAGTTCACAGTTTGGGGTTTGAAGGTATCAGGTCTAGGGTTTTCAGTTTCAGGACTTGTCGGTTTGCAATTTAGGGCTTCACATCCTCCGGTTTTCAGAATTTGGGTTCACAGCTTGGAGTTTCAGAATTTAGGGCCAAGGGTTTCTTTTTTTAGAGTTCAGAACTTAGGGTTCACAGATTGGGCAAATTAATGTTTAAAATCTATTTTCTTAGTTTACGATTTACTTGGAGGGGCCTCGAGCTTAAGGTTCAAAGCTTGGGGTTTCGAGATGGGGGTCTCGAATTCAGCATCTAGAGTTTGGCACTTAGATTTTACGGTTTGAACATTAGGGTTTCAACGTTATAAGGGCCACAGCTTTTTGTAAAGGACCTTTCCTCCAAGGCCAATGTCCTCAAAGGACCAGAGTTTAGGGCTTAGAGTTTTGAGTGTAGAGTTAGGGGTTTCATATTAAGGCTTAGCGCTCGTGCTTTAGAGCTTGGCACGTAGACCTGAGGGCTTCAAGTTCAGGCTTTTTGGCTCAAAGCTAGTGTTTATAGAGGTTAACTAAAGCTGAAAGCGCGGAGTTTTTAATTTACAGCTTGGGGCTGTAAAGTTTAGGGTTTAAAACTTCGGGGAAAAATTTCGGGCTCCCATTTTTTACGCACTTCCGGGTAGACTTTGGCGCTTAAATGATATCAATACGGGGTTCAGAGTTTCAGTGAGAGCTTGGGGCTTGCACAAAAAAATGAAAATTAAACATCCATGTGGTAGCTTCCCAAAATAGGGGTACCCCAATATAGACCCCAATATACTATAGTCCTTGTTATTGGGACCCCCCAAAAGGGTACCCCTAATTTGGGGAAACCCCCACATATTTTTTGCCGCGCTCTTTTAGCCCGGCGGCCTTCCACGGCTTAACAGAGTTTGGGGCTCCGGAAGAGTTTTTTTTACCCCTCGGACTTGGTTTAGAGTCTTGGATTGAAACGCTAGGGTCTTGACTTTGGGCTTCTACTTTGGGGGTTTCAAGTTTGGGGTGTAGAATCTAGAGCTTAGAGCTTGGAGTATAGGCTTCGGGCCTTAGAGCTTAGGGTTCAGAGATTAATTGGTAAAGTCTAGGGCTTGGATGGTTTAGAGAGTGTAGCGTTGAGAGTGTGGGGTGTAAAGTTTCGGGATTTTCAGCTTGGAGTTCCAAGTTTGGGGTTTAGAGTTTGAAGGTTTAGAGTTTGCGGTTCAGAGTTACGGGTTCAGAGTTTGGGGTTTACATATTTTCAGACTCTAGGTTTTAGAGTCTGAGCTTCAGAGTTTGAGGTTTGGAGTTCGGGGTGTGGAGTTACAATCTAACTTTTGGAGCTGGTCACAGTCTAGCGGAGTCTCCGAAACTGCAAAAAATCAAAACTGACTTTTTCAGTGCCCGAAGCCTGAAGCTTTAACACCGAAATGTCTCAAACAGGCATTTGGCCGTGTTCCAATCACTTACCCAAGTTGCAGTGAGCTAACCCAAGAAACAGTTTACTCAAAGTCTTTCTTGCACCTTCCAAAATTAAAGAAACACGTGCAAAATGCAATTTATGTTGATCATTGGATTTAGAGGTTCGTGTTGAGCGCTAGGGTTTAGAGTTTGAGGTTTGGAGTTTTGGGTCAGGAGTATTGAATGTAGAGTCGGGGCTTGGAGTTTGTAGCAATGCGCTCGGAGTTTGCGGTTTACAGTTGAGGCTTCAAGTTGCTTGTAACGTTTGGGATGTAGAATCTTTTGTCTACGGTGCGTGAGCAGCATGCGGTCAAAGAGCTGATTGCCACAGTGTTTTTCTTAGATCTAAGGGCTGCTTGTTACAAGTAAGCTTTGTGGCTTAGGGTTTTGGGGCGCACTTGTAGAAATGAAGCCAGGAGCTGTTTAGGGCAGGAGTGGCTAAAAGCTTGGGTCGCTCAGGGCTTGGCAGCCTCGAGGCTAGCCGGGTATGCCTGAAGCCCAAGCCGCATGTAAGGAAGTTGTTGGAAGGTTGTGAAGTAAAAAATGCCATGCTGGCATCTTTTGGATAGTTGCAATTGCGGTGCTGGTGGGAATTGCTCAAATCTCTTTACCTCGGCAATCTTTAGAGAAACCGTGGAAAAATACCTCAGCTCGGCTCAAAAATATTCCAAAACTTGCCAAAGACACCGGCACAGAACAGCTGTGACACTGCATGATTTCAAAACGCACACGGAAGTCTGCAGCGCTGCCTGAGGAATGACAATTTCTTCACATACGCCGAGCCACTCTAGGTAGGGTGCAAGCGGCACTAAGATGCTTCAACAACACAAACAGGTGCTGGCACTGAAATTAAACACGCTTCCACACGTCGCAATCCTTGTCCAGCAGCCTGCGCAGACCCAGAATGTGAACCTGCCCGGATCGACTCTCTATCTTCTTCTTCTGTCTTTCAACGGGTATTCAGCAGCATGGCAAATTCGAAACCCAGTCACCACAAGGACAGCAGACAGAAAGGGAAAACTCTCCTTGACCAGATCACATGAACTTCGCGCCTTCATCTCTTGCAAGTTGGTCCCCTTCTTGGGCGTCCTCATTACATGCAGCATCCTTTATCCACAAGGTCTGGAAGGATGGTGTCTGCTGTGCTAGTCCAATGAACTGGTGGGTAGCGCAAGACAGGCTTGTTCACTGGTTCCTCATCAAAGATCCTGGTTGTCTGCCCTTGGGCCCTCAACGGCCCTCTGGCTCTTCCCTCAACATGATTTCCAGGCAAGGCTTGTTGAGACCTCTCGTACCTCCCCACACCTCACCACGCGGTCCAAGAGGCAATGCTACATCTTGCCCTTCGAGCATGCCAACCGAAATACTTTCAGCTGGTGTGTGCAAACTTGCAAATGTGTGAGTGTGTATAAGTCTCTGAACATGACAGCAGCACTGCCTGAAACGAGCTCTTGCCGACATAACTTGACTTACAAATCCATGCATGTTGGGACAAATCCAAAGAGCATGAAGACCTTCTGCCCATCCGCATATCAATTCTTGTTGGAACTCTTGCCTGAGCAGCCTAAGATCCTGACTTGCCACTTTTTGCGTCCGTGGCCAAGTAGTGCATCTCTTTGGTCAGGAGACGGCAATCACGGTCCAGTCTAATGCAAGTTCAAGTCTTGTCCAGACTGGTCATGCGCAATCGTTAGGAAGCTTTCAGTTGAGGCCGCCACTTGTTGAGAGAGTCCATCAGGCTCGACACTTGAAAAGCCATGATGTCATAGGCTGGCCTTCAAAAGGGCCAGCAGCAAGCGTCCAAATATTGGGGAATCCTTGGCTTTCTGAGGGCGGTGGCTTCGTCTCATCGAGGTGCGCCGACAACCTCACTAGCATATGACACTAGGCCAGAAGTTGCACCATAATTCTGAGTGCCAGGCATTGTTGTTATCCTTCCCAGGTGCTCTGTTTGAGCTTGCTGGTCCTGGAAGTATCTGGAATCCTCTGACATGAGAGCTTCATACCTGGCAGGCATTTAGACGAAGGCATGCTGATGCAGACACTGGCAGAGGCTGTTGGGCACGCTTTTTTGTCGCCAGCAGTCGTTCCCACGATGTCTTCACCAACTGCCTGGTCGTCGAAGTTGACAACCTGCACCTGGCCCATGAACGGCTACCACAAAAAAAAAAATGCCAGCCACGATCACGGCTTACGGCGTGGCCTTTGTCAGGGAAATGCTGTCAGGGCTTTTCGATTGCTGCGCAGAGCCTGCAGATCGCTAGCCTAGTGAGCATTACAACACATTGCTAAGTTTCAACAAGTCGCCACTCCAAGCAGTGAATCCAATGAAGCCACCAGCCTGAGCTGATGGCACCAATGCTCTGACAAGATCTGTTTCCATGGAACTCTTGCAAGGTACTGGCAGCTTCATCTAAATGTCCATGAGTTGTAACATCCCGCTAGTGAAACACACGGCAATAGAAATCAAAAGCAGCACCAAGCACACATCTACACCACAGAAATGGTAGGTGGCTTGCACGAAAGGGTATGCACGACATGTGTCAAAACACTCATTTCTGGCTGGCACAGGCACGGAATCAAACTGATTGAGGCACTCGAAGATTGCATTACAACAGCTCAGTACTTCTAAGGTCTGAGGGCAAGACCTTGACAGGAAAGTTTTTTCTATCCACATCGAAGCACTCCAGGATGTTACCATCAACGATGATCTCTCCCTTCATGCGGGCATAGCAAACAAAGGCTTTTGGCAGCATCCTTCTCTCGACACGACGGGCCTTCACCGAGAAAGGTTGCACTCGAATCTTGAATTCAACATCTTTGTTCCGAAAATCGATTGCCTCAAGGCTGGAGACGCTTTTTTTTTTCGACTTCTCGGTTCCAAGGCACGGCCTTGGCATTGCTGGTAGGCACGTCAATGCCATAACTCAGGCTTTGGTGGTTGTCATTGCCTCAGTGAAAGTAACTACCAGCAACCACCAGCGGAAGAAACAGCATCCGGAAGATGAGGCAATAGCTGATGAAAGATACAACAGAGCCTGGCTTCTTGGCGAGATTCGCGGTTGAAAAAACCTGGAACAATGCTCAAACAAGACCTGTAAATTGAATCCATGTCAGAGCATGTCAGAAAACTATGTCGCGGGCTGCTCCGATGCCTTCAAACAGAGCCTGGTAATCTCAGAGACCACTGAGCTTCCCTGCAACCCACAAAGATCAAACCCAGAGTATGGAGCCTTGGAGCCGCTCAACACATAGCCTTGATCCTTCAAGCCCTCCAACCAAGAGGAGGCCTCAGTCAAATGGATGTGCTAGCTCTCAGTCTGCTCATGCAGTCTTGCTTTCTTACAGGGTCCTAGTAAGCTCCCTGCACGGATTGCAGCAGATTCATTGAAATCGGCCGATATGTTTTGACGGACAAACCAAAACGCGAAGCTTTGGTCATCCACAACCTCATCAACATGTAGACGTGAAGGGGAGCAGCTGGCTGAAAGCAAGCCATACCTTCGACAGCTCCGTAGCTCCAGATGCACGAAACGTGAAACTGGCCTGTTCAGCTAGGGCATGTAAAAACTTATCCATGAAGGGCAGGTGCGATTGAAGGCGGGCCTCAAAATTGTTGGTCTTGAGCGGTAGCTTGTTCCATGCAAATCCTTGACCTGAGCAAGATTGTCTGCCACTTTGTAGTCTTTGTAGCAGTTTCCAGACACCTGACAAATTGCATGCGAGCGAGTGCAATCTCGCTACAAATCAGCGCGAAGCGTTCGGATACGCCAGGGTGCATCAGCAAACGCTCCCTTGCATGCCAGGTGTATTATGAACACGTACGTTAGCGATCATGTGACGCGATTCAAGCGCCCATCGTGCATTGCAAACGAAAACAAGCTTCAATGAGCCTTTCGAAGATGCTGGCCCCGCTCAACATCCAATCACCAAGCAGGCTGGAGTACTCTAACCTCCATGCGGGCATCCGAAACGTTACTGTGCGAAGATGGAGCGCCAACAACACTCTGCATAATTTGCTAAGGTCATGGCGGAATGGCAAACGAATGGTGTTGCAAGGAGGCCTGCAAAAGCATGCGTTTCATGACTGTGCTTTGTGCTTGCATGCTGTACGAGCGGCCTTGTATTCAGAATGTCCATGGTATGGGTTTCCGTTGAGAAGTTGTACGAGGCTGCTGTGCAGCCATAGCCAGCAAACCTGGGAAACAAAGTCATGCACATCATCGGTTTCGTACACCTAGGAAGCCGGATCCTCCCCTAACTGGGGAGTTTGCAAAACAGCGCCGGCACGATATCATTTGGCTAATATGCTGTCTTTGCGGATGCTCGTGAATTTGTCACATTCAAACAACTGGTTCTTGGTTAAGAACTTCGATGCTCACGAAACATGAGCTGAATACCGCAACAACCAATCCAATTGTATCTGTCATCGCAAAAATGTCAATGACGAAGTTAGGCCCTGCATCCACCTAAGCGTGCTTCTTAACATGACTGCGAGTGCGTGATATTTCTTGCCCTGAACCTCGTTTTGCACATGTGCGCAGGACATGTCCAACACAAAGTGCATCAGACTTCATACCGTTGCGCAACACAATCTCAACCGTAGATCAAGAAGAAATGAAGAACTCCAAAAATGTTAAACGCAAGCCGTGGCAGACTTCCCATGAAAAGCAGCACAAAATGCAGAAGACGTTACTCTACGCAACCCGCCAAATTCATTGTGGAAGCATGGCCACAGCACGTCCATTGCGTGAGAATGCACAAAAACCGCGTGCTTCAAAACACAAACCCAATCGCTGTCACTCCAACGAGTATCTCCATCAGATTTGCACGTCCACACGACCTGCAATCTACTTGCTGTCAGGTAAAAGACCTATTCATCATGGGGGTGTTTGGGAAGGGGAGTCCATGAATTGACCAAACATCGATAAAAACAATCCAAAAAAACAAACCTCAAAAAAACATCGCAAACGCCCCGGGGCGAAAATCGAGCGCAGATCGACCAAAAATCGAAATAAGTAAACAACAGCCGAAAATCGGCAGCTGAAAAGCCGAAAATTTGATCGATGTTTTTTTTTGCATTTATCGATTTAATTTCAATTTCATATTTGGACAGCGGAAAATGTGAGCGATTTTTGGGATTGCATGGCCATCTTCGTTTGATTTCGTTTCCGCATTTGGCGATGTTAGGACGGCTTTGTTTTCTGAAAAATCGGACAACACGGTGCCAATGTTTGGGACCAACGATAAATTTAAAAGCAGAATCATTTTGTGCCTAAAAACCCCAGACTCAGAGAAAAACATCCCCAAACTCTGGAAAAACAAAGCTCCAGGCAAAAACTTCAACTTGCAACCTACATCTGGGGCCTTATACCCTAATCAAACCTCAAACCTGTGCTGTGGTTCTGGAAGGTTGGAGTAAGAACCTACTAACTTTTGGCTTCAGAGAAGGTCCCGCAAGCAGGATTTGCTGACTAGACTTTTTTAGGAACGTCAGTGCCAAAAACATTGCTTCCTGAGCTACCCCGTAAGGGTGCTGATGCACGGATTACTTGAAAAAAACCCTAGTAGCAGCCAGGCCTGCTTGAAGAGGCTGCAGTGTTTATGGCATCCCAACATTTCATTAGCAGGAGATTGATCGGATGTCAATGGATTCAAAACTGATGTATAAACATATATGGATTTTAATTGGAGCCGAATCAGATATCAATGGAATTTGATGAAAACGTATCTTGGTTTTAGTTGGAGCTCACTCAAAAAAATGGGTTTTCATTGGATTCATTCCCCACATTCATTGTGGGGTTGTAGTTGTTTAGATGTGCCGTCGCCCGGCACCCGCAGCGTGCTCTTCCGTCGCGCAAACATTTTGGACGCGCTCATGTTGTTGAAAAACAGCAAAAACTATGTGTCAAAACTGAGCTGGCTACACTCACACTTTTTCCTCTGAGCATTCAGGGGTCTTGAGCTTCCATGAGCAGCATGCACACTTGTGTTTCCTGGTAGGGAAATCTTCTGCAACTGACACTCCTATACATGTGTGCTCTTACTACTCCTGGGAGACATGAATGTTCAACACCCCGTCTCAAAAGAGCCTGAAACTAATTAGTTCCTGTGACACAAGTGTGGAAGGCTTCTTTTGCTATTCAACATTCCATTGATATCGGGCCCACTGGTAAACCTTGTGCTATCCTTTGGATGCACTTGCCTTTGAAACAAAACACACCTGGGAAAACCAAAGCTGTACAAAACTCTACTCCCTTACATTCGTGGGACAAATTTTAGAGTCCTGGTCTAATGGGGTGAGCAAGTACCAGTCTCGTCCCATTGGCACAGCCTATGCGCTCTTGTTCTCTCTCTTGTGACGCAAGCTTCTTTGGACTGCCTCCGACCTTGCTAGCCTAGTCCTTCCTGAGAGTGAAATGCTTTACAAGTGCTTTGTGAAACTTCCTGAGAACGTGTGTGACCATCATAGGTGCATTGGCTTCCTATGACGTTCCAAAACACTTTGTGGTAAAGCCTGCAAAACTCTTTGGAGCACTGACATTCCTGGTAAGGACTTGCAAGAGGCTATATACAACTTCATGTACACAAAAACTCTGTAGTACTTCTTGTGACGTGTGTACTTTGGAAACATTGCCATGACATACTTCCTGAAATCATGGAGCTTGCTCACATAGTTCCTGTGAAAGGATTTAGTGTTCACCATCTTGATCATCTTTTCCTCCGCCTTGGTGGTTCTTCCACCAATCTTCTGTGTCCTGGACTCAAGCCATTGTGGATCTTCCCAACTTGAGCTTGTAGAGCTCTGCCAAGTCGAACTTGCTGGCTGCTGCCAACTTGAGCTTGCCGGATTTTGCCAGCTTGAGCTGCCAGCATGCCAGAGATGCTGATCTGGATCATACTCTTCCTCTGAATCATCTTCTTCTTCTTTATCATCATTGTCTTGTTGTTGACCTGCAACAGGCACTAGAGGCGGCATGTCATTGTTTGACTCTTCTTCTTCTTGTGACTTTCCTCCTCTTCCTTCTTTGTGTTTGCTCTTTGTCTTTCCTCCTTTGTAAGGATGATCCTTTCCTAGCCATCGATACTTCTTTTCCTTCTTGTCAAACTCCCATGAGTGGCCATGCTCGACGAAGTAAGCGTACCTGCGAATGACGTTTCCACACCAATCTTTGAAAACTTGCAATGAGCGATTCTGACTGTCGGCTTCAGTTCTTTCCTGTGACCTTTGTTGGTTGTAGTCAAGGATCGCTTGCTCTCTCTCTCTCCTTTTGACTTTCCTTCTTTTCCCTCACCTTTCTTTCCTTCTTTTCCTTCTCCTTTCTTTCCTTCTTTTCCTTCACATCTCCTTCCTTCTTTTCCTTCTCCTTTCTTTCCTTCTCCTTTCTCCTGCGACTTTCCATCTCCTTTCTTTCCTTCTTTTCCGTCGCCTTTCTTTCCTTCTTTTCCGTCGCCTTTCTTTCCTTCTTTTCCTTCACCTTTCTTTCCTTCTCTTTTTTCTTCACCTTTCTTTCCTTCTTTTCCTTTGACAGGAAGAAGAGGAAGATGAGGAGCAAGAAGGGGAAGAAAAGGAAAGCAAGCCGGAGGAAGAAAAGAAAAAGGAAAAGCCAAGCAGCTCACAGAAAGAGCAGGAAAGTTTGAAAAGCCAGGAGAAAGCAAAGAGGAGTTAGAGGAAAAAGAAAAATGAAGGAAGCGATGGAAGGAGCCGTTGCAAAATAAAGCAAACATCAAAGAAATTGAAAAGCAACAGGAAGCAGAAAGGAGAGAGCAAATGGAAAAGCCCGCTCAGGAGTTGCAAAGGATGAAGGAAGATGCAGAAAGCATCAGAAGAGCGCAAGCAAACAAGGTTGAGCAGTTGCAAATGCAAGCAAAACGAAAGCAGGAAGAAGCAGAGGAGGCAGAAAAGAAAAGACAGGAAGCAGCAAGTGTTTTCCAGGAAAAAGGCGAAGGAAAGAAAGGAGAAGGAAAACAAGCGCAAGGAAATGGAGATGTCTGTTGCGGCGGTACTTTCTTTTCTTGGTAGTTCTCTTTCCTTTTGGGACTTCTTCTCTACCTTCTCTTCCTCTTTCTCTCTTCTTGTGCACCACCACACAGCGTATGTGAACAAAACCACAGCTAAGTGCGACAGGAGCTGGAGCAACCACGCCCGGATTCCTGAGAAAGGATCTGCTGGTCCTTGCTCCATGGTTGTAGTAGGCGAGGTCGCTGTACTTCCAGTAAGGAAACTTGAAACCAACAACGCAAACATGCAACTGCGACTGTTGTTAGCAACGTTGTAATTCCTCGTAGGATTGCTGTTGAAGTTCCTGTTACTGCTGTTTGAGCCATGCGTGGAGTCAACCAAACTTCTCAACACGCTTCGATCATGCCTGTGAAATTCTGAATCTCTGCACAATGCTCTCAAGACTTGTAACGCTTCAATGTCCAACTGATCTGCTTATTCCTGCAAACCAACTGCTTCATGTGAGTCTGGATTTCCTGTGAAAAATCTGAATAGTGAAAGCAAAAATCTGACACGGCTTGCTGACAAAGACTTTGTGCCAATATCTGCCAGATTGTATCTTGTCTGCACGGCAGCGATGGACAAAATACCTGATCGACAAAGATCTTGCAACCACAGAACTGTCAGAGATATGTGTTTTTACTCTTCCTTGGACTCCTTGTCGCCGTATCACGCCACGTGCTGCTTGAGAAGCACATCTCAAAACCAATCGAACAGGTTTTCCTGTAAGAAATTGCACAATTTTCTTGAGATATACACCTTCACTTGCACCAGAGGCTGCTGCAGAATACTCTGCTTCTCCTGACGACAGCGAAACAACTTTGCCTGCGACTGTATTTATTGCTCCCGCTTTTCTTCCTTAAGTTAAGGAAACCCATCGGTCACTTTTCTCTCTAGCGAGAAGAGGTGGGGTAGGATTC